CCCCCCCCCGCGGCGGGGACCGGGGGGGCCCCCGCCGCTACCGGGAACCAGCGCAGGGACCCGCCCCTGCCCGCGGCCGGCGGAAGCGGCGGGGCCGGGCCGGGAGCCGGCCGCGGGCAGCCTCGGCCGCTGCCACCCTCGCGGTGGTCCCGGTGCCCCTCGGCACCCCCGGCTGTCCCCGGGTGCTGTCACCTCCCCATGCTGTCCCTGCCAGAAGCCGCACTGTCACCCCGCGGCGGTTCCTGTCACCGCCAGGGCGCTGTCACCTCCATCCCGGTGTTCCCTGTTCGCCTGGCACTGTCACCCGTGTCAGTGACTGTCACCCCAGGCACTGCCATCCCCCACTGCCCTCTGGCGTTGTCACGCCTGTGACTGTCCCCATCACCTCAGGCACTGCCACTCTTGTGGTTTCTCCCTGCCAGCCTGGACATTGTCACCCCCATCCCAGCACTCCCCACCACGCTGGACACTGTCACCCCCCATCAGCACCCAAACCACGACTCACGCTGTGGCACTGTCACCGTCTGCCCTGTCCCACTCTGTCCTGTGTGTCACTGTCTGTCCCACCCCCAGCTGTGCTGACACCTGGTTCAGGGGGCAACACTGCAGGTGCCACCAGCGCAAATTTGCCTGAGGCTTTCAGCCCTCCCTTGGGGAGCTGAGAATAACCGAGACGCGTGCCCTGGAACGGGGTGACTCCCAGGGGACCCCGCTGTGTGCCTCAGCGGTGACACGTGAGCCACCGAGCTGTGTCACCGCTCTAACGGTCAGTGCTGGGGGGACACAAAACCCCACAGCGGCCACCACAGACTCCACACGCTGTTTAATTTGAGAGAGGGGACAGCGAGGCCTCAGGGCCCGTCCCTGTCCAGGCCGGGGTTGTGCAGGATATAGCGGCAGACCCCGGGCAGGCGCCGGTTGCCCAGCATCTCCTGCAGCTGCTGCATGGGCCGGTTCCCCAGCGCCGTGTGCCCGAACGTGGGGAACCCGCGGGCCTGCGCCCGCTGCGCCGCCACCGTCAGTGCCACCTGCATGTGGCCGCGCCGCCGGTGCTCGGGCAGCGTGTAGCTGTGCGTGCCCGTCCCGAAATGATCCGTCAGCACCCAGGCGACGGGCTGCCCGCTGCCGTCCTGCAGGCAGACTTGCGGGAAGCGCCCCAAAATCTCAGCCAGGAAGCGCCGGCTGCGGGCGTTCCCCCCGTAGGGCCACGTGTCGTTGAGCAGGTCCACGTGCGAGGGGCTCAGGGAGCCCACGCGCACCCCGGGGGCTGGCCTGGGCGAGGCAGGGGTCAGTGGGGGGCTCGGGGGTGTCCCCGTGCGGGGACAAGGGTGGGGGGCTCTCACCGGGGCTCTGGCATGGTGCTGGGGTCAGGGTGCCAGTAGGAGTAGTACTCGACAATGTCCAGCTCCACACCCTTCTTCCTTGCCAGGTCCTGGGACACTGTGGCCAGCCCGTCCTGTAGCCCTGGGGATGGGGATGTCAGGGGGTCCTGTTCCCCCTGTACCCCATCATCCCTACATGACCCCAGTGTCCTCCTCAGTGTCCCCAGGGGCTACCTGCAGCCCCAGCCTCTATTCCCAGCACCCAAATCCCTGCTTCCAGTATGCCCAGTACCCCAATCCTGCTCCCATCATCCCCAAGTCCAACCCCAGTACTTCCAGTCTCCCCAAGGACCCGCAAATCCAGCTGCAATGCTTCCCAGTGCCCCCAGCACCCCCAAGTCCAACCCCAGTACCCCCCAGGCCCCTGCTTCCAGGGTACCCAGCAGTGCAATTCCCTGCTGCTCCCCAGCACCCCCAAATCCCACCCCAACACTTCCCACTGGTATCACCCATCAAACCCCACACCAGCACACCAAATCAGTGTGTGATTTGGTGATCAGCACCCAAACAGCCATCCCCAGCATCCCCCAGCACCCCCAATTCCCCCACACCAGTACCTCCCAGTTCCTCCCTGCTTCCAACAGCTCTCCCCGGTGTCCCACAGTCCCAGTGCTGCCCAGAGCATGCCCAGTCCCTCCCCAGGGCCCCCCCGGGTCCCCGGTGTCCCCAGGCCACCGATGAGGGTGAAGGCGGCGTCCCAGCGCAGGCAGCCGGGGGTCTCCAGCAGCGCCCGGTACGCCCCCAGGTCCCGGTAGAACGCCGCCTGCGTGTTCCAGTAGCCGTCGTTCGCCGGCACCTGGGGGCACCCACGCGTGCTCTGAGCACACCTGGCACGTGCCAGGCACCGTGTCACCCCCCCTCCTGCAGTGCCCCATGTCCCCACTGGACACCTCTCCGCTGGGCCGGGCCAGCACGGCACCAAATTCGGGCCACTTGTCCACCAGCACCTCAAAGTGGCCAGGGTTGCCACGGTTGATGTTCAGCACTGCCCCGAAGACCTGGGGGAAAAGGGGGTCAGCAGTGAGGGACAAGGAGGGGACAGATGGGGGTCAGGGATGGGGGCTAGATATGGGGGCAGATGCGGGCTCAGAGCTGAGGGGAGGGGGGCAGGTGTGGGGAACAGGGTAGCAAAAAGGGTCCCTAATGACACGGGGGTCCCCATCACCAGCAGGGCAAAGGGCAGGGGTGGTATTGGGGTCCCCCTCACGGCAAGGGGGATATTGGGATCCTCATCACAGCAACAGATGAGTGATGCTGGTGTCCCAGTCATGGCACAGTGCCGGGGTGACAGCAGGGTCCCTGTGACTGGCAGGGTGGGGGTAGCTTTGGGGTCCCTATCGTGGCACAGGGCAGGGGTGACAGTGGGGTCCCCATCACCGGCAGGGCGATGGGCAGGCTCTTCCTCAGGATCCCCTCCAGCTGCTGCAGATGGGCTGAGCACGTCAGGATCTTCATTGTCCTGCTGAGAGACCCTCAGTAACAGGGGGACAGGGCAGCCAGGCATGGCCCCTGTCCCTGTCCCCATCCCCTTCCCCACGGTCCCCATCTCCTCCAGCACTCACCCTGCAACAGTCCTGAGTCTGTGGGTTCTGGGGGGCTGTGAAGTGGGAGTCTGGAGGCTGTGTGGCACTCGGTGACAATGGTTATCACCAGCTGTCACGGGCCAGTGAGTGCCCCCTGCCTTGGGGGGCAGCGGGCAGGGTCCACCCTGCTGAACACTGGGCACCAGGCCAGCCCTGTGGCCGCCTGCGGACGGGTGCTCAGCTGGGACACTCTGGGACGTTGCCCCAGTGCCACCAGCTCCCCACGGATCCTCGGTGTCACCACCTGCCCCACGGTCACGAAGCCATGCTGATCCTGAGGTGCCCAGCCCAGCTGCAGCTCCTGGAGGAGACCCTGCGGAAGAGCCTGCCCAGCACCCTGCCGGTGACAGCTACCCCGAGGATCCCTCTGTCCCCTCTGCCCTGTCCTGCTGGTGACAGGGTCCCTGGGGACACCTCTGTCCCTCCCTCCCTCCCTCCCTCCCTCCCACCTCCCTCCCTCTCTGCCGGTGGTGAGGGTCCTGGGGACTCCTTTGTCCCCTCACCCTTGTCCTGTCAGTGCTGCTGATTCCTACGACCCCCCTGTCCCTGTCCCCTCTCCCCTGCCCTGCTGCAGATAGAGACCCTGGGGACCCTATTGCTCCCTCTCCCCTGCTGGTGAGGGGACCAGAGACACTCTGGGCACCCCTTTGTCCCCTCTGCCCTGTCCTACAGGTGACAATGACCTTGTCGTGCAGGTCTTGGGGACTGTGATGACGGTGGCCAGGGGGAACCCGGCCTCCCACGAGGTGCTGGTGGACTCCTGGCCCAATTTCGGCATCGTCCTGACCCGCCTGCGCCCAGAGGTGCTGCCCCGGGTGCCCCTGCCCTGGCAGCAGCACCCCACACCCCAGGGGCCAGGGAATTGGGGTGCCACCCTCAGCTCCGTGTCCCTCCCAGGACCACAGGGACCCCAGGGACTACTACACCAACCAGCTGTCAGTGTTCTACCGGGACAAGGGAGCCCTGCAGGCACTGCTGGAGGGCACTGAGGCGGTGACCCAGGAAAGAGCCTTCCAGATTCTGGGTAAGGATGGCACTGGGGGGACACGGGGTGCCTCTACCCTCCATCTGGGTCCCCTGTCTGTCTGACAGGGTGTCCCAGGGATGCAGGATGGGCTGGACGAGGCCGTGCAGGAGGTGGCCAGTGCCAGGGGGCTGAAGGTGGAGACGATCCGGTACCGGGCGCTGATCAGCCCCGAGCCCCCCCAGCCCCGCAGGCAGTGAGTGAGGGGCACTGGGGGGACATGGGACACTGGGCACATGGGCACTGAGGGACCAGTCACATCCCTGGGTGGCACACGGAGACCTGTCACACTTCTTTGTACCACTGGCGGGTCATAGTCACCTCCCTTGGTGGCAGAGGAGTCCCCAGGCACATCCCTGAGAGGCAGAGGGTGACATGAGCAGGTTCACTGAGCACAGGGATCACCAATCCCACTCCTGGGTGGTATGAGGATCCCAGCTTCCATCACTGGGTGGCACAGGGGCTCCCAATCCCATCCCTAGGGGAAACAAGGCTCCCAGATTCCATCCCTGGGTGGCACAGGGGTTCCCAATCCCATCCCATGGGGAAACAAGGCTCCCAGATTCCATCCCTGGGTGGCACAGGGGTTCCCAATCCCATCCCATCTGCTATCCCGGCTGGTACCAGGGTTCAGCGCACTGGCGGGTCATAGTCACCTCCCTTGGTGGCAGAGGAGTCCCCAGGCACATCCCTGAGAGGCAGAGGGTGACATGAGCAGGTTCACTGAGCACAGGGATCACCAATCCCACTCCTGGGTGGTATGAGGATCCCAGCTTCCATCACTGGGTGGCACAGGGGCTCCCAATCCCATCCCTAGGGGAAACAAGGCTCCCAGATTCCATCCCTGGGTGGCACAGGGGTTCCCAATCCCATCCCATCTGCTATCCTGGCTGGTACCAGGGTTCAGCGTTCCCACTCTGCCACGCCCTGTTGCAGGATGCCCCCGGGCCTGCGCCTGGCACCCGTGTCCCCATCCCACGTCTCTCTGCTCAACGCCACGTGGGCCCTGGGGGGCAATGCCCGCAGCCGGGCGTTCCTGCTGGGGCTGGTGCAGGCACTGCCCTCTGCCTGCCTGCTGGACCGGCGCGGCCGC